CCTTCAAGAATCTACCCCCGCTGCTCTTGACAGATTGCTTTTGCAACGTGGAGTGTTTGTTCGGGTGGGCATGGGGTGGTTCGGCGGGTTGATCATTCAGCACCACCTGGACGACTACTGTGTGCAGCTGGAAGTAGACCACAGTACGCGCNAAGACGGTTGACAGTTGCCCCATGGGGGGGTGTTTGCGGGTATGAAACTCTGCGTCGAGTGCAGTTGAGTAGTGCACCAATTGAGCAATCGATGATGAAATAAGAACAAGAACACCGTTTCTGGAGACAACTGGAAGCTGGCAAATAAGAACTTGTGCTCGGCGTGGGGCAGCCAACAAGAAGCGAGCCTCGCTCCAAATAAGAGGTTCTTGAGTGCGGGCCGGTTCTGTAGTCTAGCTGCAGTGCATCGCGCAATCTCGCTCTCAACCAGATGCTATTTTTTGTTGAGACCAATATGCTATTACTTGTTTATGTTTGGTCGACAAGTACGGTTACCGGTAGATGTGATTCTCGGAATCCCACACGTAGGATCAACTGCAGATATCGAGAGTTTTGCTCAAACAACACAAGAAAATCTACAAATAAATTGCTTTCGAACTAGCGCGAAGAAACCTCACGGAACGTGCACAGAAGTAAGCTGCAAAAAACGAAAGTTACCGCAGTACCCCGTCTTTAAACCTGGTCAACAATTACTCGTATACCGACCACACCAGGATATAGATGGACCAAATCCGAAGCTGTTCTTACCATGGCGAGGACCGTATACCATTAGCTCACAACTATCGCCGGTTGTTGTGTAGACTATAGGGTGAAGCGAGTCAATGAAACGCGAGAAATATCCGTGCATCTTGCCCATCTACCATCTAAAACAGTACCATGAAAAGGAAAAACCACCAGCACCACAGTTTGAAAAACTGGCTGAATATTTCCTTGGGAAACGAATTCCCTCACCTGCTGCCCTGACAGCAAACGACGAAAATCAACCGAAAATCGAAAGATACGTCGCACTGAAAGTGGTAGGGTATCGAAGCGGTCAAGGCCGAAAAGGTCTGTAAGATAAAGTGTAACTTTATCGATTAAGGTCCGCACAACTATCGATATCGTCTACGACTGAAAGGATACGGTCGTGAATCAGATCTGATGTATCCTGCCCACAAAGTGCCGCAATGCCACGAAATGATTTCCGCATACCGATCAAGACATGATCTGGACATCGCGCCCGCCAAGAAATCGTCCGAAGTGCCGCAGAAAATAGCGAAACGAAAACGCGACGAAGGTAGGGATCCGAGTACAAACAAACGCGCAAAGTACAACGCAAGGCCAAACACGTTGTCTACCAAGCCAGCAAAATGCGTGAACAAGAAAACTACTCAGCGGAAAAGTAACGAAGTCCAAAGGCAAACAAAAGATACCTTTCCAAAGTGTCTAAACGGTGAAAGGAATATCATCTAAACAATAAGGTTGCTAGACTATCCAACATGTGGTTGGGTCAAATGCTGGCGAGGAAATGTCAACTTATCAGGCCTCAAGCGGAATTGAGGGTCGCTACTCGATGACACCAATCGTGAGTCACGAAAACCGTATTTAGATTGTCGAACACCGTATGCCTAGCGAACTCAATATGCAACACGATTGCTTACACCCAGCGGTATGGTTACGCGCACCAGAACCCGCACAAAGTACAAATGCTTGATACTTAACAAGAATAAGCTTTGACACATCATTGATTGACATCAATACCTGGTAGCTCGTGTGAGCCTTGGAGAGATGAAATCCGAACGGTGTTGCTTCCAACACGTGTGTATTCCACGCGGCACTGTCGTCAGCTGACTTCGGATAGTGAGTAATGCTACGGTAGGGGGGTCACATTATGGGGCATGTGTGACCGACACCACAGGACTGCGCTATATTTGACCAGCCAGAGTACACCAATTCTGTAGGCACACTTACTTGTGTTCCCGTGTCAGTCACTGATTGATTGTAATAACAATAAGTATTGGAGGGCGTCACGCAACACGGGCCCAATAGCTAATTGATTACAAAAAGTCGGTCACGAGGGGTATCCCCCCTACCGTAGCATAGCTCTAGTGAGGGAGAGATTTAATTTTCGATAAGCTGTATCTGGATCCAATGATTGCTCCATACCTTCTCCACTACAATTAACATGCAAACATGCATGTGCGCCAAAACCCAACTTCAACAAGCTGAGCTTTCGGCGAAGAAAAAGGAGAGCTATGTGGAGGTCAGGATATGGAGATTCAGGGAGCACAGATACACGTACGTCGAGAGTTCTGTAGGATCTGAGGGAATGTATATGTGACAATAGATTACCGTTCTCCGAGGGTCCACAACTCTTGTGATTCCCAACGGCTGCGAAGAGTTGATGGATCTTTAGGAGAATGGGAAAATGGGTCCACGAAGGCTCGCCCACTCTCCGCACGACCCTAGCTTGACTGAGCTTGCTCAGTCACGCTTGGCATTCCGCGCCACATTGTACCAAAGGAAATAGCCAACCTCCGGTGGAAGGATATAGCCACCACAACGCCGGACTCTTCGCTCACCCAGAGTAGAGGGCTCCATAAACGAAATGATTTGAAATGCATTTCCGCACGGGCTCGGTGTTATGGCACCCATCGGTGTTATGGCACCGGGGTGCGATAGAAAAACAACTACTTAAGAATGGTCTTAAACGATCGCACCTCCGGTGCCATTACACGGACAATTACGGTACACAATCAGGAAACACAAAATAAGGAAACGGGGAGGCCTAACCCTAACACACACAACCAAGAGAGGCTCCCGCTCGGTACGCGATGCCAAGCAAACACCAAGGTCACCAATCAAGGCAAAAACCTCCGATAATGAGAGTCGCCTGAATCTATCCGTTTGTACCCTACTAGGCCGGGGTGTATTCGCCGCCCGGGATTACACGGTAAATGAAATTGTATGTGCTCTTTGATATGTTGTGGTATTTCGTGAGTGTGGTCACCGCACCAACGTGGTGTGTGGCACATTCACCGAGCACGACGTCCATCAACCAAATCGTCAGGACAAATAGCAAGGTAGAACACCAACGTCTCCATCGCCACGATAAAAGAGTCTCGAGCTATGTCCAGCAATGAGTACGACTTGATCAGGAAACACAGCAGACGAAAAGGAGGAAAGCACGAAAATGTCGCCGCCTTCCTCTTCCAGAGAGACTCCAAGCCAACGCCAAAAAGACACCCAAGCAACAACAGACCCCCACATAAAACAAGCATGTCACTGCCGAAGTCAAATCTCAATCTTTCGACCAACTGGAAGCAAATTGAAAGTAGATTGTATTAGTTTATCATAGAAAATAGAACAAGCAAAACAAACTGACTGTAGGTTTATATTGGCACAAGCGCGATGTCTCTATCAGCCGTGCGTGGTACACTCAACAACCTGCACTCCTGACTTTCAGTTTTGACCACAAACATGTCCGTCGGCTGTGGTCGTCTCCACTTCAAAAACCCCTACCTCTTCTTTGCTGCCGCAACTTGTCGTTGGGTCCAACGACGTCATGGCCTTGCTTGGTGCAGACTCACGAACGTGCGTGTGTTGTAAATCCCCACACCTCGTACAGAAAGAGGTATTTTTGTTTTCTTGCGAAAAGACAACGAGAAAAAAGCAGGTAGAAATGAAAACGAAATAAACACACGAGCATGTCGGGATTCGTACCGCGTCCCTCGTTCAACCGCCCCATTCTTGCGGACCCCAGGCCTAGGTGTCACTGGAAAGTCTACAACTATTGCTATGGGAAAGGGAAATCTTTTGGCGCGTCTGGGCGGTAATTGGGATTATCATTATCGCAAAATTACCGCGGAGTGATTCACCAGGAAGGCAGCCCTGGTCTTAACCTCCTAAACCGGCGAATGCCCTTCATTGAAACCGCCAATCAAGGGCCGGGGTCCTCGTGGTCTTGACACATGCGGTTTACCAGCAGGTGCGCTAGCATCCTCGTGGCGTGCTTCCCGTGGTGCATGCCGTCCGGGATGTCGAGAGCCCACTTCTTGGTCAAGGTCGTCCAGTTCACCTGAAGACAGTCGTCGGCATTAGACGGGCAAGTTGGGAAAGCCCGGCCGGCGGTGTGCGTGGTGTCTGGGCGGACACACCGACACCGTAGCGCTAGCAGGAAGAGGGCACAGTGTAGCGGGGGTCAGGGGGTGCGAATGGGGACGTGGAAGCCGAAACAGGGTTTACCACTGCTCAAGAGCTTGAGGGAATAAATGGACTCGGTTGGGGGGGGCAAAGGGATGACGAGACGATGCGTGCATGGGCCGGAGGTGACACCGCTTCTGCTGCGGCATCACAAGCATTTTGATCAAGATATCCAACCTTAACCCCTCCTTCACACCTCGAAGGTAAGAAAACAACTGTCGCGATTCATGCACTACACTTGTAGCCGAGTACTCGCCTCAATCCACCCCCTGGGTTCCAGTACAGACCGAAGGCCGTCGTTGAACTGAACAGCACGTTCCAGGACGCAATGTGGCTCCCTCTCGCTCACCAGGAAGGGGGAAGACAACCAGAACAGAAACCTTCGTTGGGCCGCAGACCGCGCATTTGATCGGATCCAAGTAGCGAGCGGAACAACGTGCAACAAATGTCGAAAGATTGTACGTTTTGTTGCTACAAGACCATTTGTAGCAAGTTTGATATTCGTGGTGTGGTGTGTCCCCTTTTGGGTAGAATAGTTGGCCTGTGACCACGGAAGGCGTCCGCGGCAGCTAGACATGCCCTGAGGTCAGAAGAAACGAAGAAACCGCGCAGAGACGGAACGGGTTGTAATGTGCAGACAGCAACACCAAAAACAAACGAGTTGATCGTTTTCAGAGTTTTGCTGATGGATGCAAGGCGACGTGTTTTGAGGATGCAGTGTTCTTTCTGTTGCACCCGTACGTATTTGCTAGAGGACGGGTTCATCTGGGTCAACACACCAGCACTTATCATGCAGTCTTACAACTCCGAGCAAACAATACCAAGTTGTCGAGAATAGTTCATGTAATGACTTCCACCATTAGAAGCCGTCGACTTATCACGGTGCGGATTGACGGCATGTGGTAAGTTTCCATGGACTGAGATGTACACGACGGCAGAATCAGTGTTCATCGACGGGACCTTGTGATGTTCTCGTCACACTTCGCAAAAAAAAGGTGTCCTCACCTAGGGCGGAATTCTCCATTATCAGTCATTTTGTCCAATGCCCTGCCCAGATTCTCGAAAAAGTGGGCGATCTCGCCGCCAAAGTCATGGTGCCACAGCTTGTGTATCATGCCCCAGTTGGCCAGAACGACGTCCGGTCGAAACTGTTTATTTTCGTAGCAAGTTCCATCATCACCAAAGTTGTAGGCAGTTGGGTGGTTGGCAAAACGCGGCTTCATGACCAAACATGTGATGAATTGGGTGTGTATCTATTGGTGTTACCTACGTACGTGAAACGGATAAAGCTAAAGCCCTCGTGCCAGACTAGAAATGGAAAACACATGCTCGGTTTCGTTGTCAGCCGCCGAACAGCTTCATATTTTCTTGCACCCACCACATCAACTCATCCCCATCCGTCCGTGTGTGGGGGCCGTTTCTCTGAGAGAGGTTGGTTCAATATCACACAGAGGAAACGAAATCAAAGGGCAAAACAACATCAAAGGAAGCACTCGGCATACCCCCCCGATCGAAATTGCCTCCTCCTCACCCCAAGCAACACACTACAGTCGACCCCGCTTTAACGACGCACATAGTTTTTCCGAAAAAAGCGTCCTTGAAGCGGGGTTGCGTCCTTGAAATTCAGGGGACGATAGCTCACCGTCCCCGGGGCCAATGGAGGCATGCTTTACCTCAAACTACGCGTCTTTTGCTAAGGAAGGGTGTGGTACGAAAAGTCAGCATCGCCGAGACGACTGGCAACCGTTTGTTGACGTCGAACATATTTACAGTGCTTAAAATGAGATGTACAGCAGTCGGGGACGTGTTGAAAACTACAGTACACCAGTTTGTACTTGGCCAACTAATGTACTGCATAGCCGGCAGCGGAAGAAGGAGGAAAGTCCAAGTAGACATATATTTATCTCATTCTTGTGAAACAAAAGAAACGAGCGTATTTCAGCGTCGCACCGAGGAACACCAGTACATAGTACTTATAACTGATCCCGACGGAGACCAAAAGCTACCCTGACGGCTTTTCCCTCCACACATCGCGAAGAGTTCCCTGAACCTCCCCCCGCGGCTTGGCTCTACGGCTCTGTTGAGTTTCATGAGTGAACGAATGAACGGTATTCGAAAGAAGGTACTGCGTCTCACGGTACTCGCCACCCCTTCCCTTCGCGTACAAATATGCATAGGATCGAACGTCCTCCAAGCGAGAGATAACCTCGCCCTCGGTGAGGGACGAGGTTATGCACGACTTCTTTTTTGGCGGCATCAGATGGACCGCCGGTAGATGGGAGGAATCTATCCATAATACCAACACCCAGTTACAGCTGCAGCAGCAGACCGCTCGCTACTTCTGCACTCACTGTGGTGCGTGGTGCGTGCAAAGAGCGGCCCGCAAGACACAAAGAGGGGCGTACGCGGCAGAAAAAATGGGGTACCTCATTATCGTATATTCTGCCGGGCTCCCTGGTGCTCAGCAAAAATAGTTTCTTTAAAGCGGGGAGTTTCCTTAACGCGAGCGTCCTTAAAGCGGGGCCGACTGTAGCACATGTTGTCGACCAATAACCACATCTCGAATCCGCTGAGAGTATCTACATGTATGGACAAATTTATGAATTGACTCTGCGAGTCGAAAAATCAGTCTTTCCAAGCGCTGCTTCCCACCGATAGAATGTAGTCTCTGATGGCGTAGTCCTTGGAATAGTGGAAGCCGGATAAACCGCAGTAGCGGTACTTGATAGGCGAGCCGCCACCGGAAGTTTCGGCATCATTGTCGCCATCATCCATGTAAAAACCGGTCGGACAGCCTGCGGAATACATCGACAACGTTTTTGTTGCAACGACAACATCATTGCGTCTTGTACCATTATTGCTGCGGTGTAAATAGGAGCCACGCAAACGGTACCAGTTTGGACACGGAACGCTACAAACTGCGGAAACCCCCCAAGTGTGCGTTCTCTCTTGAGAACTGAGACCGAGTCACCCCGTGGTCTTGTAGGTGATACTGTAATTTCGACTACCGTTCCTGTAGCGGCAACGTTTTGAGCGTGTTGTTTCTGCAGGTCGAAACTTCCAGTGCAGCAGTGGGCAGGGTTCTTGTAGCACTGTTAACCGTTGTCGGGTGTAAAGCATAGGTACGTCGTGCAGCCCAGACGAAGTCACCGTCTGCGGGCCCCCAGATCAGGAGCTCTTCAGTACGACAGGTTAGGCCGCACGAGCTGCGGGCGAAGTAAAAGAAATGGAATGACAACAATACGAAATGACAACAATACCAACAAACCCAGCCGTCCAACAGCACTTAACCTATATGTACACGAAGCCTTTTTTCAAGTTCTACCGTGGTGTATTTTTGCCGCGCAAGACATTTCGCCTCCTCTCCGCAAGTGCGCTCGCTCTCTGGGTCGATACAGGGTGTGGGCGATAACCTCCTGCCTCAGAGCACGAGGTCTCATTCAATCCAGTATTTTCTTGGAGTGATCCGTCAACCAAAGCTCATACCGAGTATGGTTTTGAAGGAGGCGACCTGTCTACCTAGTAAACGTATCGAAATGTTGAGATTCTTGTATTTCGCTTGCTCTTCCTCCGAATCAGCCTTACAAACACCCAGAGTTGCTTTGACACTTGCCCTTCCGTGGAAGAGACCGTCCACGGCACAAAAACGATAAGAAAAGACGGAACAACACAAAACAAAACAACACACAACCCCAAGCACACAGATAAAAGTTCGCCGCAGTCAGTGCTTGCTTTCGCCTCCCTCACTCACCGGCCTGTTTTCCTCGAGCCTGCGCATCTTGGCTGCCTGCTTTCCCGTGCACATCGACGTTTTTCGGTAGCCACAGCTCGACTCTTGGCTGCCTGCTTGTTTGGATCATACTGGAGGGCGTTTTCGATAGGGACGGGAGATCGAAGGGAGCTTCATTACCTTGGTATCGCGTTGTGTTGGTGCTGGGTCGTATTCTTCTTCCATTGACACCCCACGCGCCGTACAACTCTCGATCCGATCCCCGGTACCAGGAAAAACGAAACAGTGAAACAAAGTTCGCCGCTTTCACACGTCATGTGTTGTCTCATCAGGTGTTATGTTCTCTGCAAGCGTAAATCCCTATTCCAGGTGCTTCTTTCTCCAACAGGGAAACTCCTGATGCTTGACTCCTCCGATAGTATGATAGTCATATGCACAACCCGCTTAATTTCACACCGTCCTGCGACGGTGAGGGAGCACCATATGTTAGCTCACTCCCTCGAATTACCCCACCGCATACGCGGCATGGGTTGGAAAAGCGGTGCCTCGTCGAGAACAAATCGTACAATCCTTCGGGCTACAATTGTATAACGCTCTGGTTATTGGTATTGATGAAAAGAGACAACCAAATCCCGTAGAATACGAAGCAACAGGCACCAACTACCTGCAATTGCTCAATTGATATTTCCTTGCACAACAAACCACAACCCTTGTCGCGTCGATAAAAAGAACGCCACAATCGCAGAGGAATGATCGCCTGTGTGGCCCCCATATCGGAGCTCTTCAGCCAGGGAGGAAAGACCTTCTGTAGTTGAGGAAGCTAAAGCTGCGAGCGACGGTGAACTAAACGGATGACAAAACAGACACACAATAACGACCCTGCCTCAAAGACATTTTTGGTCCCACAAGTGGGGCAAGAGCAACAGATAGAGAGAGAACTACCCAACTGAGGGCACAGGCAACCCGCCGAAAGGAGACATGTATAGGTCGCGGTATGGTGTTTTTCAAGAGCTACTGGGGGCAGGTAGCAGCCCTCTTTCGTGAGATTGGCAAAGGGGAAGTTTAGTCTCGGTGGAGAGATCGAGAGTGTTGCCTACAAAAGAGAAAGATTCCACGCTAGTCCGTCTCAGCAGGTAACTTTTGGAAGAATCGAACCCACAGCAGGCGTTTCTTGGTATCAACTATCAACAATACACTCCGAATCTTCCTACATGTTTCGCGTGTGCACTTGCTGCATCATTTCTACCATTTGTCATCCCCACCAACCGTGGCAATAAGTAATTGGGAACGCACCTGTCCCCGTAGTCAAGAAATCTGGTGATGTTTAAGGCGTCGAAGCAAGTGTGGCGCGCTTCCACATTTAAAAGGGAGTAGCGACAGTCGTAAGGCTTCCACACGTAGCCTCCAGTAATCGCTTGCCGGTAGCCGTCCACCTTGCCACCCGACGTGGGAAGGTTGTAAGGCTTGAAGAAGCACTCCTCGGGCTGGGGGAAACGAAAGATTAACCGGCGAGAACATAGGAAAGACAACAGGTGTGGAGGAAATCCCATGCAAGAAAGTCTGCCTGCCCGCGGTTATGGGTCAAAGGTGAGCTACTGTAGATACCATGTCGTTCCCAGAAGGAGCCTGCGTCATCAAGAACTCATATGCATAGCCTACACGGACTGGGCGCGTCCGAACAATATATATATACCATCCGTGGGATCGGATCCGGCAAACGATGCCCATTCATGTGCAACTACATTACATGGATGATCATTCCGTTAATCCTGGACTGAAGATACCTTGATGCCGAGGCAGACCCTGTATGGTGTCAAACGACAGCGGATACAGAGACAACAACCCGTGGGATACCTCGCGGGAATCGAAGGCACACAAGATCGCTAAACAGCGCACACACCTTGGTGACACCGAAGATGTCTCTTCGATAATCCGGCCAAATAGGGTCCCCATGAATCCCCTCTGCTCGCATGTCACCGCATTCTACATCCTGTAGACCCACCCAACGGCCGGGTTCGGGGAGAACGTTGGTGGACCTGAAGACCATAACAAGGGTAAGGGTAGCATCGGTGATAGAGAGTGTATCCGGTAAGCAAATACGGAGAGGATGAATGGCTTGGAGTAGGAAAAACAGCACTATTAGCGGGATATATCACAGAGGAACGGGGTGTGAGGAGTTCATATCAACTTCTTGTCGTGGTGTCGTCAAACTCTGTTGTGATTTTAGGGTTGCGTGCCTCTGTGCCCGCTCGATTCGATGGCCACTGGGAAGAGGGGACACCGGGGCGGGGGTCTCTTCAGCGCTACTTTTGTGACATGTCAATGTGTCTCAACAACGCCACCGTCGCCGTCATGTTCACACCCTCCTTTCACGGAAAGGGGCTGGAAAACAGACTGCCACCCCAGAGCTAGACTCATCCTTGTCTCGGGTATTGTAGACATATTAGAACATCTTGCTGCCGCCCTGCTGCAGGTATCAACATGGTGTCCCCCGTTCTATGCTGCTACAACACATTACTCCCGGATCTTCTGTCGGCCGCACAGCTATCTTCTGTCTGTGGTTACAGCCTACCCTTCGGTGCATGCATACCTGCACCGTGGTAGCGCGTCGTCCCCGTCTGCGATTGATACTGACGGCCCCGCCGCCTTCACCGTCAATTTCTTGCCGCTGCCCAGGACCCTCGCGTTGTCCGGTGTGCACCAACTGCGATTTTGACCAACAACCGTGCGCATTTCGTTGATCATTTCATCACCGAACCACTCATCCATCAGCCACACGTTCAAGTCCTTGGAAAAGAATGAAACATGCGGTGGATCGGGCCCGTGGTGTGTGTGCGCACTCCCCCGGAACAGCCCGTTCGCCTCCGTGCTGAACTGACGTGACCGTGCAACTTGCACCCTTCGACAACGACTACCGCAACTACACACCAATATGAACACGCGAAAAACAAGGGGACGGATCACCCATTCGTGTATCGTACCTTCTGGCGATGGACATGGAGTGCGCGAGGTACATCATACTCTCTTCGTCTCTCGGTATGCCGCTGGTAATGGCGCGGTTCATTGCCTTGTCTTCCACGGGTGGCCCGCTGACAGACGAGTACAGCACACACCTGACAAAATCGACACGCGCACATCAAACACATCAACAACAAGACAGGTACGATAGAGAGTGTTCTTCGCTTGTTTCTGTTACGGTGCATGAAACGTTTCGTGCGCCCCTTGGAGGAGGGCTGCAACTCTACAACCACACCCGTAACGCGAATGATGCCAATACTGTATGCTTCCATCGTCGAAACGCAATCTTCGTACACCGCAACGAGGAAGCAAAGGCGAGAGGCCCGGAAACTCGCACGAAGAAACAACCCGCTTTTGCCGACTCGAAAAAGTGTTACATTTCCGGTGCGTGTGTTCGTACCACACGTGGGCTGCTGTGTGGCGGTCCTCACCTTTTTTTCCCGTCGATGGGGGCGATATCGAACTTTACGGTGTTCGACCACCCCACACACCCTTCCCAGCGGGTGCACAGGGTGCAGCATGCCTCCGCAAGGCCGTAGAACACCACACTCCTGCTTTCCACGAAAAAAAAAACGCAAGCCCGTTCCCATGGTCGAGGGAAACGTGTTGGTGCCACAGAAATGGTGCTTGTGGAACGTCGACGGGACGGTCGCCGAGTCATCATGAGGACACCGGAGATGAAACTAATCATGCATCTGTGAGGGGAACACGGTGTATTGCATCTTCCCGCCAACAACCGGAGTGGTGTGAAACAACGACCGTCACATCCCTGCATATTAAAAACCGGAAGAATGCAGGTCGGTTTTCCGTCGACAACGCAAGGGGGGTGAGGGGGTGCCCCGGGCCAACAGGTGTTCGACGATGGCCAAAGCTTGGTGAATGGGGGGTGGATGCTGAACGACTCACCCCACGGAGCCCATCTCGACGGATCCTTCGGGGTATTGACCGGCCACTTCGTGGCACCTGCTCCCGGCGCGAGGGAAATCATAGAATAGAATCATTAGGAAAGGTTGGTATATATTTCATGAATCATGTTGATCGCGCAAGGAAGGTTGATGTCACAGACAGCCCTACCTTTGTGGTGTTCCACGTTTAAGCAGCAGTGGTTGGATTGATGGAACTAGATTAAGTTTCAGTCGCACACCGTCTTTGTCCTGTTTCACGACTGATTCCCGAAAGTATTTCACCGTATAAAACGCTGATCACAGCAGATCCTGTGATAAATTCATGACTATGTCTGATCACGCGGAGTGGTGTCATTTCATGTATCGGGGGGGTTATCTGACATAAACGAGATCACCATCATCACCATCAACCATGCCCGAAAGTGGCAGAAGAAGGTAGGCAACGCAAACGCATTGTGTATTCAGAGGGCGAGGCAATCGGACAGAGAGAGAGAGAGAGAGAGAGAGAAAAGAGAGAACAGAGAGAACCAGGCAGCAGGAGAGACAGAGAGACAGACGACGAGGCAGGGGGACAGACAGAATGCAGCGTTGAAATACGAATGGCACCACCAAAACGATACTCCTCATGTTGGACCCGAAGGCCAAGAACAACAACTTTACTTACCATGGCGAACACAAAAGCCAGCGTGTCCATTCTACATGAGATGATGTCGAGAACTTTTTTCCGAGTGCGTTGAGAAAGGGTTCGCCATGACGAAAGAGAAAACAAAGAACGTGGTTCGGTATGCACCATGACCTCGTCGCCCTTACATTTCGGGGTGCGGATCCAGACCACCTTCCCAATTGAGTACGGTGGCGTCGAAGGTGTACACGCCTTCCAAGGACGGTGTGAACTCCACGGTCCAAGCGCACCTGCCATCTACAGGCGTCGCAGCCTTCCGACCACAGCAGGTACAATGTTTTCGTGAGAAAGATGAGGTGTGTGGTTTAACATCGCAGCCTTCCAACCACAGCAGGTACAGTGCTTTCGTGGGACAAAGACAAATATGTGATATGTTGTGTCGACTGTTTGCTGCCGGTTATACTTGAGCGCTTCTCGGCTGTCATGTGCTTCGCTTTCGGGGTGTTTGAGGAGGCGCTAATGGACGGTACTGCTGCACAATTAGGAACGACCGACGATAAGACGACGATGGGAAAGATGTGTTGTTGGACAGTCAGTACTAAGGGCGATGGTGCTTGCGTTGAAGAAGAGAAGGTACGACGCACAAACGAACGGACGACACACGATCAAAACGCAATACTCTCTGGTGCTGTTGGGCCTGGCTATCGGCCAAAGCTTGGGTTGCAACAGGCAGCCTCAATAAACATCGGTCGACTGCTCATGCTAAGCTTCATTCCGCCCGCGAATGATTCTACCAAGTTGTTTGCGGTCTATCCAGTAGTGTATCGCCGTTAGGAATTCAGAGGAGCCGGCGGAACATTGCTCCAATGCACTGTCCAGCCCTCCACTTTGAAAGTTGACAGCCATGGTGAACATACACTGGGTTAGAGATTATACGAGCGACGGTGTCAGGTGTGCTTGTTTATGAAACTCTGGCATGCGTGGAATGTCAAATCTAGAGCACTTACCATGAAAAAATCCGTACCAGTCCGCCAGACCCGGATGCCTTCCGTGGTTACAGGCCAACCGATGTGTACACACTTCGAGAACTCAAAAAGAAAAAAAAAAGACCCAGAAAGTTCATCTTCAACGCGATCATAGAACGGAAACCCACCAAAATATTGGTACATGCTGTAAGCAAGAAAACATCGGCGTTTTTTGTTCGGTGTCGGGGTAGACATATCGCATCAAGGGGGGAATCGTCCAAGACAGTAAAATATACGGGGGGCGGGGGTCCATGAAGCGATGGCTGCTTGTGTACCTCAGCTAGTGCCTCTGGACCTTGAAGCCTGACCAGAATGCTGAGATTCTGGCTGTTGCAGTCGGACTCCTCTCCCTCTCCCTGCGCCTTCAGCCCCACCACCGTCACCGTCCTCGACTCTCTCGCGCACCATTCGTCTGGACCAAGAACACGATCAGGTTAGGTGTTGGCATATTGTAGTACGAAAAGGTCTCGGTGCATCTGTACTGCTACAGGCACCATCACCAACATGTTGGAAGTGGAGTCGGCAACAACAGCAACGACAACAACTGTGACAGCAAAAATACACCGCCGGCCCTCCGCCCGCGTCACGGCTGTGAGAGGAGTCCGCAAAGCTACAAAAAACACCTGCAGGTTCACTGCACTCTATTGTTCGACTACATACACACGGAGTCGTGTGACCAGGGAGGGGTAAGCCATTTACCTGTTGCGTCATCTCCAACACTACTGGCGTCACTCCCTGCCCACTGTGTCACCAACAGCAGGTCTTGCTGATGGAACAACCATCCTGGAAGCAAAGGACGTATTTCGGGGGGGGGGGCAGGGTTGCGTAGACAGCACATTGGTCGTACGCATAGAACCGATGGGCTTGGCTACGTCCTTCGTACGGCCTGCTTTCTAGCGTTGAGTTTAGTGCCTGAAACCACATTGTTGACTCGACTGCAAGTCAATAACAAAACGAATGAGCCAAACGAACCACCCAGAAACAACTCCAGAACATGGTAACGTTAGACAGCTTCCAGGATGCGATGTCGTTTAGTATCACCAGGTGAAAAGGCCAGAGCACAATTTGGCCCGAGGGGTGCGTTGGGGGTGCGAATCTTTCGGTACCTTCAACACGATGCTACCGCCTACCCCAGGACTGTTGCCCCTGCATGCACCATAGGTCTCACCGCGCCATTGCTCTTACGCATCTAGTTCTTGACGCCTCATTTATCTGTAACGAGCGGGTCTAGAAGGGATGGTGAGCGGCCAAATTGGCTTGACATAAACCTGCCACACTTACACGAGGCTGCTCACAGATACGTAGTATGCACACTCCTATCGTAGTACCCCTCCGCAGCAAGAGCGGTGGATTGGCTGCACAGTCTTGTCCCGGGGGGTGGTATGATCCAACTATGTCTAGCAATCCAGTACAGCCAGTCGAAGACACACCGATACACGAAACACACAGATACAGGAAGAAGGGCGTACAATGAAGACAAAATGCCCTACGAACAAAAACTGCAAGTCAGCAAGCAAGCCGACCAAACAAGCACCTTTTCCGCACTGGTCTGCAGCCGTACATCCCTGATTTGCTGAGGTTTTTCGCCAGTTGCTCGTGAGGCACGAGTCCGCGGGCGCCGCTAAAATTCCCAGGACGTCGTCTCGTGCCTGGCGGTGTAGCTCCTAAAAGCATCCAGGACAGAACATTTTAACAGAACCCAAACATTTGCAGAGAAAACGGAAAATACGCGGTGAACACCGTGGTGAACCAAGAATCCAAAGTTCGGCCCGAAATACATATGTTTGCGTTCGCCCCGAAAACTGTATTGAGATTTGCGTGCAATCGATCGCTGCTGTTTTCTGTTCCCTACCGCGAAACCTCGTCTTGTTAGCCCTCGTATTTGGCGTCTTCAGAGTCTCTCTTCCTACCTAGCAAGAAGAAATTCCGTAACATCCCACATACGAAGGCTAAGCGTAAGTAGGGGAAAAATACTCCGAAGAAACCAAAGACGAGGGTTAACCCGACGACTGCGCCGACTGCGGCGCTAGCCGCGGCGCCGTCGTTGGGCTTTTCCTCTTCTTTCCAAACCCCTAACCTAACCAGAGAGTAGGCGAGGTTCAGGGTGCCAGCTCCAAAGGCCCGTCGGTGGTGAAACACGGCATCAAGTCTCCACAGTCTCGAGGAGAGTAGGCGGGAATGAAGCTCGCCCACTCTCGCTAGCTTGGGGCTTCGGGGAACAAATAGACCTAGACGCCGGCGCCGCAGGCGGCGCAGGCGTCGGGTTGGCCCTAGTACTCGGCATCCTCGATAGATGTTCCTCCTTGATCTCAAGGATTTCGCAGGACATCGGGTGGGGTCCATCGTAGACGTGCTACATATATGTTTATCTAGAGTGCGGGGCGATGGTGGTCGATGGTCTTCGAAGCTCTCGGCAGTTCGTACGACCGCTTCCCTTCACAGGCACACCTGCGAGCGGCCAGCCTGACGCGGCAAACGCACCCCTTTCGAGTAGGAGGCTCGCTGACCAGGTCGGGCGGCCATCGAAGAAATTGAGAATTGGAGTTTGGCCGGAGAAAGTCGACCGCAGAGTACTACGTGTAGACCATCGTCGTCCAAATAACGGCCGCTATACGGCCACCATTGACGCGCCTTTGCCGTGGCCTTTAAGGCCGACGATGCGTCGTGTTCTCGCGCAATTCACCACCAGTAGCTGTAACAACACGAGTACGGGTGAGTCAATCAGGTGTAAGAGCAGTTATCTACTCAGAAAAAAGTCAAGGAGAGTATTATGGGTGGGACCACGGACAGGCCCTCATCCGAACCCGATACACGGCAGAAATGAAGAATACAGCCAAGCCTATCTCACCTGCATGGCGTTCGAAGTGCCGGGAACCTCAAGGCCCTCGGACACCGCGGCGGCATCGCAACTAAAGCTTCGGGTAGTCGCGAGGACGAAACCGATGACGAGAATGGCGCCGCACCTCCCCATTCCGCGACGCAACCCTGCCATCCGCGCCAAACCTCACGAGACACCGCCCCGGCCTGCCGTCACGGTGGCGAGATGGGATGATGGCCTTCGTGTGGAGAACCACCCTTCGCGCGTGACAGTCGTCCGGATGGACCGCGAAACAGAAAACGAAACGCAAACAAGCAGCAGCAGCGGCGGAGGTAAGCGATCTCACGGGGAGTGAAGGTATCCCGCATTGCGTCACCACCTCCCGGAAATAAATAAAACGAAGTAGGACACGAAAAGGTCGCACGCACCATGGGAGACATGCAGCCGGTAAAAGTGCAGAAAGTGCAAAACCAACGCAACCAGAGCCGTATAATACTCACAATAGCACATGACGAGGGTGACAATGAAAATACCGATCGATCCAAAGAACATGAGGAAGATTTGCTTTCGTTTGTTGATTCAGCCAAAGCTTCTTCTCTTGGGATGGTGACGACAACAACGTGGTGCACGAGACACCCGCAAGAAAAACTGAACGCTTCAAACTACAACAAAAAGAAACTGTTTTTCTCCAGGCTCACCCCTTCGATTATTTATCCCCTGTGTGGGGAAACTATCGGGAACTATATAGGTTCTAGCACAGGATGGGGCAAAATCTTATGTTTCGAGAAGTTTGAACCCTACCAACTTCTACCGTCCTGGCACCACGTGCGGTACTGCTTCGCAGCATCCATTGTTGTTTTGTTGTTGTCCTCACATAAAAAAACGTTTCCGATCTCTCTTTCCAGTATCTTTATCTGCCATCTGTCCGTACTAGTCTAACACTTGACGCGGTTGATTCCCGTGGTCACAGGCTACACTATAATAGATAGGGAGGAGTAATGAGCCGCGGGGTTGACTCAATACCTGCAGCAGCCTGTACCTATCTGCGATGCTGCGTGTGATGGAGACTTCCTCCGCACTTCATAAATACGTATCCGGAATATATTGAGCGAATCTTCAAGACTGTGCATCCGCTCCCCGCTGGTGTCAAATGCTACAGCACCAACGAACGGCGGAGGATTACACACATGCCGTGACACACGCGATGCTACAGCATTACCGCCAAACGATCTGCATCTAACAGCACTGCTGCCGGCAAAAAATGAACAGTATATTTTTTTTGGACAGAATAATACTAAATGATAGAACCCTCGGGCAGCGCGGTGTGGAAAGCAGATGGAAAGTGACAGGAGCACATCAGTTCCAACAGAGCCAGATCGCGTTCTCTCGCCTGGACCATTTGTTGAAACATTTCAGTCTCTCTGTTTCGCTTGCTGGAGGCGGCGTCGTTGAATGCTTCCCTTATCCCCCGCCATATTGTTATCCAGCGAAAGAGGGCATCCCTATATCATTCTGAGTCCCACATGGTGATTGCGTCAATAGCACCAACCGCCTCAACTTCGCTCTCCGTTGCTGTCGTTGCTGCTGTAGGCAAGACCTCATCTATCCTGTTTTCACCCATCGATGTTTCCAACGAAAATAAAACCGCCAAGACTCTCCCTGTTGTTTAGACAGGGAGCGGTCGCCAGGTCTGCTGTTAACTGCTGCGCTTTTACCTATGGAACGAATTGGATCAAGGCGGGTGGGTGTGATTCTATGGATGTGCGAGACTATCAGCGGTAATGTTTCTTCTCCTGGGGTTTGAATCGCGTGCGCTTGAGATCTCCGATTAAGTAATCCCGCCTTTCTTCCTGAACACCAGGGGACAGGGTGAGGAATCTCCTACCAATTTTGGGCACAAATACCTGTGAAGAACGGCCATCTCTCGCCGAAGCACGACCAAACCGGTGTGACGAAGAGTGCGCTATTTTTTTCCCTCCTTAGAAGCCAGCAGATCGTAAATCGGTGACCTATAGATCTCATTCTGGTCCCAAAGGTGGGTTGTGTTCAGGCTTACGGGATATCAAACTTGGAGCCCCTGCAACACGCAGCGGAACAGGCCGATATTTAGAGCCTGTTTTTCCTCCCCTGGGACGGAGGGAGATCAGCAACAATGATAGTGTAGGACTCCCCGCTCGCCTTCTGCACGCTATCTGAGGGAAGCAGAGACTGGCAGTCAACATCACGGGCCAAAAGGGGTAGGGCATTCCCTAGTTCTACCTTGGTACTTCACAAAAAAAGAGAGAAGACCATCTGGAAAGGAAAAAAATAAAATAAAATACAACGACACACGTCAGAATCACAAATAAGGCCAAAGACAGCAAACACACGTCATCGCTCGTGGGGGTTTGGTGTAATGCTGCAGTGATGGGTGGGGGTGCCGTAGTCGTTAGACCATTGACCTCGCATCCCTACAAAGCCGGGACGGAGCACGCCGGGTTCTCACCGGACCAGGCGCTCACATCACCAAGCGCCAAGCGCCGTGAGGTATTCGGCGAGTCGCATGAATGGTGCGCTGCATCCTGCGAAGGATGTTCAGCATCTTGTGCTTACTTCCTTGCGTACGGATACATCTGCGTATGACTTGATTTATTTTCTGGTGCTTTCACTTCCAGAGACAGTTGTAAGCACTGTGTAACTGCCTCGAGGGTGCTTGACCATTTTAACACAACGTGGTGCGATCATCCCCCTTGCGCGGAGTGAGGGGACTCGACCCCGCACAACATGATCTACTCGGCCACCATTGTGGTTACCGCAAAACAAAAACAGAAGTAAAAAAACAAAACAGTAACCTGGTTGCCGAGCTCACGAAGTGAATTTGGTTTGTTATACAACATCGTTGCCAAGCGACGAAAACCCAATCCTGATTGCAAACCCCGAGGGGGGGATTAGTCAATCAGGTGTTCAATCCGACACATATCGCGCCACTCGGTTCGCCCCTTCGCGTTTGCTCTTCCCTCGCCGTCTCGTCCGTCTGCTGCCCCCCTCCCGCCCCGTTTATCATTGTTGCCATGTCCCTGCTGTTGATGGGCTTGTTTCGTTTGAGTGCTCGTTGTCGGCTAGCATCCTCTTCATCCTTGTGCCAGGAGGTCATGAACTCCTTAGCTCCCTGCAGTACCCCCGTATCCCACCGTGCACCGCGCTCCACCATCGCTACTTCGAATGCGCATGGCTCGGCGTCAGATCCGTGCTTTGCCTCGAACATCTTGAGGTCGTCCTTAGGCACATGTGCCAGTTTTGCTCCGGTTTCCCCCTGCTCGGGCGCTCCCCCCCCACCAGCTCGCCAAGTATCAGCCGTTTCGGGAGCACCCTACCCTCTTGAGGGACTGGGCGTCGGAAAGCTGCCGGTAGGTGCCCTTCTTGCGTTGGAACCGATGACTCGCAGGAGCACCCGATGATGTATCGACCGCAACAGCCGGTAGTGGCCACGACTTGGGGCCCATGTCATGCAACCGTAGAGCAGTGCCTCCATCGCCTCCGCCTGTAGCAGGAGTCTTGAGTCGGAACGGTGCTCTCGGCCTGTCGAAGAGCTCCTGGCCATATCTCCTGACGCACGCACAGTGTTCTGCTCCGGCAATTGATCTCCCGGGTGAGGTAGCCATGTTCGTTGACGAGGCCTCCTAGGTACCGGAACTCAGTCGTCTGGGCGTACCTCTGCCCTGCTGCTTCGATGATCAGTGGTGACGGCGATGGCGGCGGGGGGAGCAGTGGTATTGGCTACTTCGCCTTGACGCGCATCAGGAGCGTCTCCGTCTTGTTCTCCGATACCGTCAGCCCGAACTCTCCGAACAACTCCACGATGACGGCCATCATTCTCACCAGTCCGTCGGCCGACCTCGATACAACGCCGGCGTCATCCGCATACAGCATCCCCCATACCGCCCTCCGCACTCGGTCAAGTAGTGTCCCCGCCGGCGCTCCCGTCTCTCCACCAGGTACACCATGTTCTGCAGAATAAGATCATCCTCGCTGAATCGAATCACAACGACCTCGAGAAGCGCGGTGAAGAAGATGTTGAACAGCAGTGGGGACAGCACGCACACTTGTTCGTACGCCTTGTGTGACCCAGAATCGGTCCGAAAACTCGCCGTCGTCCATGCCCACCCATGACATTGGTTACACCTATGCATACGCTGTGGTCCTGTTGCTTCGTTTTGTTTTTTTCCTTGATGCCCTATGTGACTTGATTTCAGTGAAACTGTTCGAATAATCACGCATCTTCGCAAGGAGGTGCTGAGACGTACTCGGTTGTTCGTCTTTCGCATCTGTACCTTGGGGTTTTCATACTCGTGGCCACAAAAAAAATTGCCTTGAAGAGAATAGAAAGAAGAGGTATGGTGTGTGCAGGATGATTAGACTATTTCGTGTGAAGACGACGACGATAACAACACAGCAGATTGGTGTTGCCTGCTGTGATGATTCCTGTTTTTCGACATGAAACCTTGTGAAACCCGTTTTTTTGTTTGATGTGATTGCACCACAGCTGGATTGCACACATCCTCATACACGAAGGGCCGAAAAGAAAAAAGTCGGCCTTAAAAAGTGTCACGGAGAGTATTTGGAGGGAGGCATAGTCCATATGCCATGGTGCGTTACCGTTACCATGGTTATTTGGCGGTGTCAAATGTTGTACTTACTGCTGTACAGCAGCTGGTACGGTAAGAAAAGAAGAAGAAAAACTTATTTTTTCTTTAGGTTATAGTAAGCCCGTTATATTAGAGATTCCTAAAGATATTTCAATTAGGTTTAATAAAAAAACTTTTTCCTTAATGTCTGCTAATTATGGTACATTACAAAATTTTGCTACTAGTATAAGAAGTTACCGGTTCCCAGACTCTTATAAAGGATCTGGGGTTCTTTATGCAGATGAAACTTCGAAGTGTTGTTATTGCGTCTGTCTGTCCTTCTGTTCTGTACACTTGGATCTATTTGTGTGAGATTACAGCTGCATGGTGAACACACGCAGGGGAACAGGAAGGCGGAAGGAAGGCTAGTCTTCTTAGTCTTCCGTTCGTCGAGGTTCGCCGGGCCCTTCCGCCCAAAAACACAAAGTGTGTGTGAGCTGTTGAGCTTGGAAAAAACGTCAAACTGATGAAGCTGGCACCCACTTGTGGGTCGGCCCTTGGCTGCCTGCCTTTGTTTTCGTCTGCACCACCCCTTGATGACACTGGTGGTGACGGACGCGGAGGCCTTGTGGGCCATGCTCTACGCTGACGACGCGGCCATCGTCTCGCGCTCGCCGGAGAGTCTCGAGAAGATGATGTCGGTCATCGTGCGCGTGGCCGGCCTGTTCGGACTGATGGTGTCGGAGCCAAAGACGGAGATCATGTGCATGCTGCCAAAAGGGATCGAGGAACGCCCGTTCACGGTCAGCGCCGCCGGCCAGACGTACAA